GGCACGACCCGCGCTGCCCCCGATTTGGATGCCGTAACGGCTGCTGTGATCGACTCCCTCGCCGCCGCCGACCCCTCGGTGCTTGTCTCTGCTGAGCAGGTGACCCTCGGGATCCTCGGCGACAGCAAGGTGAGGGTGACCATCGTGCAGGCCGAGGACGGGCCTGCTGCCGAGGACATCACGGCTGCCGCAAAACAGCCGACCTTCCTCACAAGCATGGCAACGGAGCTCGGCGAAACCGTGAGCTTCGACGTGCCACCCGCCACGGTTCCGGCAGTTGTTGCGCCGCCGCCGTCGGCTTCTCCGCCGACGTGCCCGGCTGGCTGCGTGCCGCGACTGTCCTTCACCCGCCCGGCCCCCGCCGGCCGCCGGCCCCTCTTTGCCTCCTTGTCGGAGTGTCCGGACGGCTGCATGCCTGAGAGGCGTGCCTGAGATCCTGAGAGCAGCATGCGTGCGTAATAAGAGGCTGAGGGGGGCCTTGCTCTTGAGCACTTGAGCACTGTACTTGCTCTGGGTGAAATGCATGCTGCTCTGAGACTGTGTGTGGGTGGGGGACGACGTATCGTCTATGGAGAGAATGTGTCCCTTCTGCAAGGGGCTCCTGTCTGTCTGGATGTGTGTGGAACAGTTTGCCTTCCCTTCCTTGGCCCTTTCGCGAGGTATTTTCTTGAGGTCTGTGAAAAGGTATTTCAGCGTCAGCCGACGTATTTTCTTCTCAATAACAGGTCTGTGACGTGGAGGCACATTGTTGTCATGTAACAGTAACTTTGCGAGCACTGCTGGGCGCGCTGGTAACATGGTGGCGCGTCCGTCGCGGTCACCTGCCCGCAAGCGTCCTTCTAAGGTGAGCACGAAGGAGGCCGTCGAGGAGCGAAATGCTTCCAGAGCTTTGCATGTCGGAGCGACTCGGGTTCTGCTTGGGGTGGTCATCGCGGTGCTGTCTGTGGGCGCTTATGCGTACATCCAGCGTGCATCAGAACTCAAGCTGGAGCCAGGGCCCAGAGTGGCAACTTGTGCTGAAGTCAATCATCCGCGCGCGAGTTTGGTCCAGCAAGCAGAAACTGAGGCCAACTCGTGCAACGGGCGTAGTAATATGGCAGAGGCAGCGGTAAAGGATGCGGCGGAAGCGAAGGCACAGCGGGAAAACGACGAACCTGCAGCGATGGTTCGAGCAGCCGAAGAGACGGCGGCAGAGGCGGCGGTAAAGGAGGCGGCGGAAGCGAAGGCGGAGGCACAACGGGAGAAGGAGGCCGCTGCAGCGATGGTAAAGGAGGCGGCGGAAGCGAAGGCGGAGGCACAGCAGGGGAAGGAGGCCGCTGCAGCGTTGGTTCGAGCAGCGAAAGAGGCGGCGGTAAAGGAGGCGGCGGAAGCGAAGGCGGAGGCACAGCGGGAGAAGGAGGCCGCTGCAGCGTTGGTTCGAGCAGCCACAGAGGCCGCAGAGGCGGCGGCAAAGGAAGCGGCGGAAGCGAAGGCGGAGGCACAGCGGGAGAAGGAGGCCGCTGCAGCGATGGTTCGAGCAGCCAAAGAGGCTGCAGAGGTGGCGGCGACGCCGGAAGCGAAGGCGGAGGCACAGCGGGAGCGGTTGGCTGCAGTGGCCAGTCCAACTAGGGCAGCGAAGACCAGGGAAGAGGAGGAAGCTGCGAGAGAAGTTGCCGCCTGGGCACCTGCCATGGCACTCGTGTTACTTGCCAGCTTCCTCCTACTCGCTTAGTGTACTCTAGGTAAACCATAAAAGTAGGTTTAAATTCGTCCACGTAAGGCTTGGTGAGTGGTTGGGGTGGCCTCAGGCATCCCCAAGGGAGCCGCTGCGGTGCCATATAAGCAGCTTAGTGATTGTCGAGACTTTAAAGTATTCGTCTGAAGATATCGCAAACAGGACAGACGCTACTATGGTCACCAGTAAACCATAATTCGACTTTGAGGGATCATATCTCAAAAAGCCGGGAGACAGCATAGCCTTATTATTGCATATTATACCACATAAGGTCAAACTTGACCCCAGAAGCATCAAGAACCCGATGCTCCGGCTCGACTGTGCCGGCACACTGCCTCCTCGCGCCGGCTGCTAGCAGGCCGTCGCGGCCCGTGGTGCACCAGAGAGAGAGGTCGACACGTTGCCCCCGCCGGCGAGTCCGCGCGGCTCAGGCCGGCCAGAAGGTGTGTGGTGACGGCACCGTGGCAGGCGTGCGGAGAAGAGCTCGCCGAACGCGAGCAGCAGATGGCCAAAGTGTACCAGCGCGAGAGCCTCGCGAGCGGGCGCAGAAGAAGCTCGCCGTGACACGATGCCGGGCGGTGGTGGTGCTCTGGCGACTGTGCACAGTGGGCAAAGTCAGGCTGCAACAGGGCAGCACGATGGTAGTGCCATGCTGCAGCCTGGCCTGACATGCACAGGGCGAACAGAGACACTACTATCGTCCGGCGCTCGTCACCGAATCTGGGCCAACTTCGACCGCCGCCACAGCTCGCCACGAGCACGCAGCGACAAAATGTTGACTGTATGGAAGTTGAGGCTGGTCGAGAGGAAGAGGCTGCCGTGCGAGCCGGCAGCAGGCTGGCTCGTCGTGGACTGCCGCGGCGATTCTTATGGGTTTCTCTGTTCATAGTAGCGTATACGCTACTATGGTTTACCCACATTAAGGGAGTAGCGGGGAAGCTGGTAAAGTCAGAGAGGGGGGCGGCACGGGCTGAGGTGGAGGCGGCGCAGGCGGAGGTGGAGAGGGCTCGGGCGGAGAAGGAGGCAGCGCAGCAGGCGGCGCGGGCGGCGGCACAAGAGTTTGCAGTGACAGCTAGGGATGTGGAGGCGGAGGTGGTGGCGGCAATCATGGAGAGAGCGCAGGCGGAGGTGGAGGCAGCACAGAAGGAGGTGCAGGCAGCGCAGGCGGAGAAGGAGGCAGCGCTGCAAGCGGCACTGCGAGCGGCGACACAGGAAGCGGCAGCGAGGGATGCGGCACGGGCTGATGTGGAGGCGGCGCAGGCAGAGATGAACAGGGCGCGAGCGCAGGTGGAGATAAGGCAGGCAGAGAGGGAGACGCAGCAGACAGCGCAGCGAGCGATGGCACAAGAAGCAAGGCCTGCGGCGCTGGCAGAGACAGAGGCGGCGCGGGCGGAAGTGCCTGTAGAGTCTGCGCCGCAGTACGGGCGGCGTGGCGGGGAGGAAGATGGGGAGGAGGGCGGCGGGGAGGGAGGCGGCGGGGTGGGGGATGCAGCGCCTCTACTGGCGCAGGCAGAGGCGGTGTCCCCCACGGCGGCGGCGTCCCTGCAGCACGGGCGGCGTGAGTCATCTCAGTTCGCAGTGCAGAAGGCTTGGCTGCAGGAGCAAATTGAGGCAGAGGCGGTGCAAGCGCAGGAAGAGAAGACACGCCGAATTGCATTGACGAACAAACGGCAGGGAGTAAGGCAAGTGAATGTCCCATCCGTTCTTGTCCAATGGCTTGGCTTCGTACAAGATTTTGCGCGGGACCCAAATGGCACGTGCACGCTTGATATTCCTGCTAAGATCTCAGACGCAACATTCGAGCGCGTCGCGAAATTTCTGGAGGTAGACGGTACCGCCTTCGATCTCCCTTCACAGCCGTTTTTGGTTTACGAGCTTGCTTTTGCGGCGGATTTTTTGCAAGTCGATGGCCTTCGGCCGAGCGGCGATCACCAGAGTGGCGAGTACCATAGCTCCAAAGACCTAATGGCACGTATTGCCGTGAAGATTGCAGAGCTCAAGATTTTACAGAACGAGCATTCCGGACAGAACGTAATACATTACCATGAGGTGGCGACTATGGTCACTGTGGATGAGCTGCAAAATTGCACGGAGCACGCGCTCAAGCTCATGTGCTATAAATCAGAACCGTTCGCTCTAGAGAAACGTGCCACAATCATCGAAGGCCTCACCTGGAATGCGCCAAAGGAATTGTGCAAATTTGTTCCGTTGCTCACCTCCATTGTCATACAGCAGGTGAGCGTCAGCGAGTTCAGGGCGACGATGACGTGCCTGGCAAAGTGCATTGAGGCACCAGCCGGAGAGCTCGACCCTTGTTTGGTGGAGGAGCTCTGCAGACAAGTAGGCGAGACGGTCCCACGGGCCGAGATGGTAGATCTACTGGATGCAAAACTGAATGCTGTGCTTCAGATGTGTCGATGGTCATGTTCATCATCAAGGACCAAAGATGACCAAAGATGCGTCTGGATGACCAACGATACATCATCAATGATCAAACTTCTAGTGCACGCCGCTCGGCAGATTGTTGTAATTTATATACGTGCTTACCGCAGCACTGATTATCTGGCGGCACTCAACCTAATCGACCGTTACGCCCCCCGAACAATCCAAGGCGAGCAAGATGAACGCTCTCTCAGCGAAGGTAACATGCACAAGATCAAGCTCCGGGGTGCCATCCGAGAAGGCATGGCCGCTGAGCTGGCATGTCTTCGTCTGGGAGCTTCAAACGCACCGGCACCGGCACCGTCTACTTAGGCACCGCCACCGCTGCCACATGTGTGCATGTGCATGTGATTAAGCACCCCTGATCACCCCCCCCCCCCCCCCCAGTGTGTAACCACCTGCTTACACCTGGGTTCCGTTGCCCTCTAGCAAAATAAGCGGCCGAAAAACCGTATTTTTGTTCATTCCTCGTAGTGTCGTATAAAGTAAAAAGTACCTACAACGTAAGGTAAGGTAAGCCGTCAGGTAACCTTGAACGTACAACCGTACCTAGAGAGAGCCGGAGAGTTCGAGGTGCGAGGGTTGCCCGATGCCCCCCTTGCTCCACAGGAGAGAGTGTGGAGATGTTTTGTGCGGGATCAGGCCCGAGTCCCTAGTGTCGCCGGAGCAGTAGCTCCCTTTTTCGTAACAGGAACAGTTTTTTTCCCCCCCCTTGCTCCACATACGTTGTGTGTGTGGACAAATTTACCTTACCTTACCTTAAACCGCTCGCTAAATGGGCGTTTTTCTACTTTCTCCGCCGCGCGCCGGGTCGTTGCCGCCATGCCCTTGCCGCTCGCCGCTGTCACGGCGCGAGGCGCTCGATGAAGTCGGCGAAGGTGCGGTAGCGCGGCGCCCAGCCGACCGCCTCGCGCGTGTAGCTGCAGTCGATCACCTTCCCGGTCCCCGCGCCGCCCCGCGCCGCCTCGCCGCCTTCGAAGGCCGGCATCGGCCGCGCGTCGAAGGGAGACACGAGGCGCGCCACCGTGCAGATCTGCTCGCGGGTGAGCGGGGCGTCGTCCGCAGCCACCAATGTGTCGCCCGCCTGCGCTCGCTGCAGCGCCGCCACGACCGCCGAGGCCGCGTCTGCATAGTGGACCTGGTTGATGAGCCCGTCCAATTAAACAGTTGACTCGCAGGTAATTAGCAGTTAATTGGCCGTTAGTGGACCTGGTTGATGAGCCCGTCCAATTAAACAGTTGATTCGCAGTTAACTAGCAGTTAATTGGCAGTTAGTTGGCAGTTAGTGGTCCTGGTTGATGAGCCCGTCCAATTAAACAGTTGACTCGCAGTTAATTAGCAGTTAATTGGCCGTTAGTGGACCTGGTTGATGAGCCCGTCCAATGAAACAGTTGATTGGCATTTAATTAGCAGTTAGTGGACCTGGTTGATGAGCCCGTCCGCCCGCCCCTTGACCGTCTCCATGCCGAGGTACGCGTTGTGAGCGCCGCGCTCGAGCAGGTACAGGCCCGCCAGCCGCACCACCGCGCCGCCCGCCGCCGTTACCGCCGCCTCGCAAGCCAAAAGACGGGCCGCGCGCGGCGTATCGCTCACCGCCGAACCCTCAGTCACCACCCCGCCGTCCTGCTCCGCAAAGACACCCGCAGACGAGGTGAAGATGAAGCGGCCTCCGCCGCCCTCCCTGCCGCCCTCCCCGCCGCCCTCCCCGCCGCCGCCCCACATGCGCAGCGCCGCCGCGACCTCGGCGGAGTAGTCGTCGTTCCCGCCTGGCGCGGCGCAAAAGACGACATGGCCGAAGCTGCCCTCACCGAGGCCGGCGTCGGCACGAAAGAGGTCGGAGCGAAGGCAGGGAGTGATGCCGCTCGCCCTCAGCGCGGCGTCGCGGTCTGCGTCAGCCCGCCGGACGACACCTGCGCGGCGGCGAGCGGCAATAAGGGCGATGGAGGCCGACGCCGGGCAAAGGCGCGGCGGCGGCGGCGGCGGCGGTGGCGGCGGCGGCGGCTCCAGGACGGCAAAATTCCCGCAGGACACGCGGGAGAGGAGGTAGGGGTGGCACGACGAGGTGAGGCAGGCGTGTGCGTGCGAGCGGCCACTACTCACGCGTGTGCGAAGCTCTCTCGCACCGCGGATGGCCACGTCTGGCCCGTGCAGCCCGCGCCACTCCTCGGCGATGAGCTTGCCGAGCACGCCGGCACCGACGATGAGGAGAGGAGGCGCGGAGGACGTCGCGGAGGCCACGGCGGGCCTCGCCCTCGTGCTGGGCGTGAGGCTAGAGAGCGAGAGGAGGCAGAGACCGCTCATGAACTCGGAAAAGAAAACGCGCGACATGTGTTCTCTCGAGGTTCTCGAGGTGGATATCCTTTGGCCGCGTTGGGTAGCGAGGATTGGTGTAACCCGAGCCACGGAGGCGTGTTTTCTGACGGCCGACCGTCAGTGCACGGAGTTGCCCCTTCTCCGACTGCCCCGGCTAGTTCACGAGTTTCGCGGGAGTGACCCCATGCGTCAAACCCGGGACCTAGCGCGGGTGGGTTGGAGGGGGCTCGCCCCGTTCCTCCCCATCGGGCCGCGTGAGCGGCCACGCCTCGCAGATTCGTTTTCGCGCCTGGGTCAGACGCGCGGGGCATCCCCCGGGTCGCTCGACCAGCGATCCGAAGAGTGGCCGCTATGCGAACGAAAGAGTGGGGCCCTCGACGCCTCAGTCCGGCCCTCCGAGGGGGGAAGGGAATGGCGGGGTCCCCTCGGGCGCCTCAGTTCGGCCCTCCCGAGGGGGGGAGGGGAGCAAGGGGGTGGGGGGATTGGGGTGGGGGGAGGGGTCTCGGATTTCGTGGGTCTAATACTTGCCCTTTCGGGGAGGGGCCTCAGGCCGGCTAGCGCAGTGGCGCCCGCACGACGTCTTCCCCTCCTCCCTCGAGGCAGCGAGTAGGCAGCGAGAGGAGGCCTCGAGCGCCTATATGAAGGGTTGTGAGATGGTGATGGGAAATGGGTGGTCCGGGCGGGCGGGGCGGGCGGGGTGATCGGAGAAATCGTAGCCACAATCAGCAGCAGCGGAGCAGCAGCAGCAGCAGCAGCAGCAGCTGCAGCAGCTGCAGCAGCAAGCAGCGGCCTGCCGCAGATTGCTGCCGTTTGTATTATTATTAACAACGAAGGCGCTCTCAGAAAAGAAAAATTCTCCCGGGCGGCGAGAAGTGGCGAGTGCGCAACGAGCGCAAGCGCCTCCTGCAGCAGCACTCGGCCATCATTGCGAGGCGCAACTGGGAGATGACCCAGCGCAACGCGTGGCCGAGGATGGGCGACAAACACGGGGAGGCACGTAGCCTGCACCGCCTTTCCAGGGATTACCGCCGCATTGAGAAGGACGCAGGTGGGGAGGCGCCGGCTTTGCAGGGACTTTCGCCCGCCGCCATTAGAGGGAAGACAGACAAGGCCGAGGACTCAGCAAGCCCGACCGAGCGGTGCCGCATTGCCCTCGCCCTCGCCTGCCCCATGCCTCGCCCACTCCTCGCACGCGTTGATCTCACGCCTCTTCACCTCCACTCCACTCAGATAACCGACAATGTCGCTTCGCACAACGATCGTGATCGCTCTCGCCTCCGTCGCCGCAAACGCCCTGCCGGTCCAGAATGAGGTGATCGCGTGTCCGGAAGTAGTGACGGAGCCAGAGCACTTTGTGGCGTGCTACCAGACGAATCAGATGGCGAAGGTCATGGGCCTCAGCGGCCATTTCCCCTTCACGTTCGACAATAAGACTTTCATCGGCTCGGGAGAAGGATCAGCACCTGGGCCGCTGGCCTTTGTGGCAGGCGACGATTCCCTAGAGACCCTGCTACGGGTGAACAAGGACCGCGCTGACGCAGTCAAGGACCAGCAGTTCACCGACGCGGAGGCAGGGTACAGGCTCACCGCCGCCATGACGTCGCTGGTCGGCTTCCCAAGGTCTGCAGTCTTGAGTTCGAAACCGAACAACTTTACTTTCGTCGTGTTCAAGTCGTCTGCAGTGTTCAAGTCGTCGTCTGCGGTCAGCATGTTTGGCTCCGAGCAGCCCGTTGTCCCGACTTTTTCTTTCTTCGCGGAGTTCGTCAAGTCGAGTTCCGGCTTCGAGATACCGCTGGATCTCACCCGCGATTTGGTCGCGGCATACGCTGAGCAGCCCAACCCAATGGCAGCGTTCTCAAAGGTGACGGGCTGTGACGAGAAGAAGGTGAGGGCACTTGAATATGGAGTCCGGGTGAAGCGTTATGGCATCAGCAACGCAGCTGTGATGCAGCAGAGAGGACTGCAGCGCGGAGGGGGAGCAGAGGTGAGGAAGGCGGCAGAATGTCGGTAGAGGCAGCGAGAGCACGATGGGTGTGAGGGCGAGGGCTGAAGTGCTGCCACCTTGCCGTTCGCGTCTGACTCGCGATCAAGTGTTGACCGGATGCGACTCAGCACCTCTGGGCTGGGGTCGTAGTCGGGGCCTTCGTACATGAAGAAGCGCGGCGCTGATGGCAGCGCAGTCGCCTGCAATGCCGACGCCGCGCGCTCCATGCGCGCGGCGGTTGCCGACGTGGCAGCGTGTGCCGCTCGCGGCCAGCGCGACGCGAAGCGGCGGGCACCAAGTCAACAGTAAGTATTTAAACAAAAGAACTCTCTCTCACAGCAGACAGGCTCGACACAGGTGCGAACTGGCGCGTGCTAGTACTATCACCGGCACACCACCGTAAGTAAAGACGTTTCTTTTTCAGGGATTGGAGGCCACCCATACCGCGCTAGTGTCCAGTCCGAGCCTGGCTGTTCTTCATCTTCCAAGAGGCGCAGTTACTGCCACACTTCCGGTGCGTGCCCTCGCCAAGCGGCTGCACAGAGGAGGACGATGGGTTCTGTGCGGCACACGCGCTTCTCTTCTCGGGGGCACAGCTCAGGATCGGGAAGTGCGGCACCCGGATGGAACGTCTTATCTGAGCCTGATCTCGGCAGCCCTTTCGAGCCCCCCGCCTCTCTCGCGCCCTCAACGAGCCTGGATGGGCCCGCCCTGAACTGGTCCGTCCTCAACTGGTCCCATCGGCGTTCTCCTCGTCGGAGATGGACCACCTTATCCCACCCGTTGCGCTTGCACATGGCCCGTGCCCAGCGCTGTGCCCAACGCGGAGACGGCAGTGATGTGCACGAGCAGCGGAAGTTGGCTCAGACCGGCGACTAGCGATGGCGGCGCAGCTGTATGGCGTTAACCTTTCTGCAGCGGGTAGCTGTGCCGTTTACCGACTATCCATCGCTCGCGTCAATTCGCTCGCGCCAGATTGGCAACTCACCCTCCAGCCAAGGAACGAGAGCTGTTAGAGCGAACCGCAACGGCTCGTAAAAGACAGCAGTGACGAATGTTAAGGCGAGTGCAAAGCGCATCTCCGCTGTCGCTGACTCGGAGCAGACCAGCTTGAGCACATCCGTCGGACGGCCAGCAGAAAAGAAAAAAATCCTGATCTTCACTTACTTCTTCTTTCCGTGCAAGCCCCGCAGAGGTGCGGGCGAGAGGGCGGCCCGAGCCCGAAAGGGCCCGCCCTCGACCTTGCTCTACATGGTAACGGATAAGAAGAGAAACTACGGCCCGGGACACGCTGTGGTTCAGACGCTTTCATCCTCTTTGAGCCAGCCTCCTTCGATGTTATGAAACACACAGACTACTCGAGTACTCGAGTACGTGCCTCCCCGTCTTTTGTAGCAGCCTGCCTGCCTGGGCCCTGGCGTTCAGAGAGAGTTTCTTTTTTGCACAACACTGGGCACAGGACTGGGCACGGGACTGGCTCGCACTGGCACTAACACAGGTACACCACGGGAGCCGCCTAAGCGACTCCTGCGAGGGTGGCGAGGCACTTAGCTCCGTGCACCCGCCCACCCCCGCCACAGGCAAGCTCATTCACGTTCTTTTTTGTTTTTTCACTTTTATGCTTAAAACGTGCAGGACGGACCCCGACGGATGTCCGTGACGAAGGGGCAAATGCGGAGGAGACAGCTACTCTCGGAGAGCGATCGAGACGCCGAACGGTTGCACAAAAATCAGTTTGGGGGCCCTATCGGCCTCTCCCACAGGTGCTGCTTCAACGACACATTGTTCGTCTACGCGGATGAATCCTACACTGGCCCGATCGGCATTGGGCTGGTGCAAGACTCGCTTGGCGTTTGGAGCGGGACGCTGGCCGCAATGCTCGGCTTCATAACCGACCACATGGCGGCGCGTGTTGTCTACCTCAGAGACAGCGACTGCCTGAACGACATGGACGGAACACCCGACTTCTTCTGCCAGAGGACAGACGGCTCACACTCGACCGTTCCGGTCACCCGCTTTGTGACGCTCAACCGGAGGTTCCATTGGCTGGAGCCGCCGGAGGAGCGCAGCGTCTGGGTTACAACCTCGTTCGTCGAAGCTGACGAGGCCGCCCTCTTGCCCGTCTACTACGACTCGTCGCAGCTGGGAATCTTCACCTTCTTGGGTGCCCCATTGACCGTCACGCACTGCACATTCATTTACGCTTTTACCACCCACGTGACCTCACGGCCGCCTCCCCTTCCCGCATGACCTCACGGCGACCTCCCGCCTCGCTGCTTCCGTAGAGCCTTTTGACACCTCTCTGTGGCTCGCGCTCGCAATCTCTTGCATCGTGGTCGGCGCTCTCATGCCGATGACCCTGCGCGATCCCCGGACCAACGCGACGCGAGTCCGCGGCGGCTTCTTTTTTGCCAGCTTTTCAGATCGCGTCCTTCTCTTCTACCACGCCGTCTCCGAGCTGTTGGGCAAGGAAGACTTGGAATGGACGACCAATACCTCTTCCCGCATCCTAAAGGTGGGGTGGCTCATGTTCATCCTCATCACCGTTGCCTCGTACACCGCCAACCTCGCCGCCTTCTTCACCGCATCGGGGCGTGTGGTCAGAGGGCCGCAGGACATGGAGGCGCTGAAAACCCACGTGGCTTGCTCCACGCACGACTTCGACACCATGGAATCGCACCACGAAGAGGCGATCTTCTACGGGGTTCCGAATACGCTGGGTGGGATGATCGGCGCTTGGATGCCACACGATCATGCCCTTTATCGCGAGGGCGTAGCAGTCAATTATGGTGAGCTGACGTTCAAGGAGAAGAAGAATTCAGATACGTTCAGTAGCAGCGGGTTCATCGACCGGTGTGCGCAAAAGGTGCGTGCGGGTGAGGCGGGCTTGATCTTGGGCCCGCAGTCGGAGCTCGCAGAGTGGCTGTTGGACAGAGCGCGGCCAGAGAATTGCATGAACTGGGAGTTCAGTCGCGGGATCCACCTGCATCACGGCCCTCTGGCGCAGATCTTCCTCGCGGTCAACAAGTCTTACGGCTGGCCCTTCTTCTCCGCGCTACAAGAGTCGACTGCCTACCTCCGCGCCAGTGCACCCGTCGACATCCTCACAACCATCTACGCCCGCGAGCAGAACCAGGGCGGGGCGTGCCCAGCTTCGCTGCAGAAAGTGAGCCACCGCATCGCATTCTCCGACCAGTACGGAGTGTTTGTGGTCTTTGGGACATTCACCGGAGTCGCGGTCCTCGTCAGCTTCTTCGAGGCGTATCTGCTGCAGCGGCGCAAGCGGAAGCTGGCGCGGCGGCATGATACCGACGACAACGGGCGAGGCGTCATGACCGACACTGAGCTGCTGCGTGAGGTGATCAAGGAGCTCGACCGGGTGCACAAAAAGCTGGACGAACAAACCCAGTCCATTCCCAGCAATTCCACCGACCCTGGGCCTGCCCCTGCCCCTGCCGCGGCGCCGGGAGAAGGCGGTGGCAGCAGCAGCGACAAGAGGCCTCGTCGCATGCGCCTGATCGGCGGTGTAGGGATCGGTCCGAGGGCGAGGTTGGAGTGGGTGCGCTCACCTAGGAAGGTAGTTAGCAGGGTGGGGTAGCTCGGATCCGATCCCTCTTAATTTTCTCCAGTCACAGCCTCCGCGCCCGGCTTCCCGGGACAGCGGCCCGCCCTCGAGCCTCTGCCCAGCCCCCCCCGCCCTCCCTTCGCCGCTCCGCACAAACACACACCACACGCTTTTTCGACCCGGAGCATTTCTTTTTTCGTGCCGGTCCATGGATGTCAACGACGCGGTATGGGTGGACGCTAGACACAGATGATGACGACACGCACGAGCGACACACAGACACAAACAGGCTCACAAGACACACAGCCAGCTGGCTGCCACACACCCTGAGTTCGCGTACACATAACTCAAGCGTCAAGGCCACATCCTCCCTGTCGCCCCCCCAGCACTCCAAGGTGCCAAGAGAGAAGAAACAAGGGCACAACATCACAACAGACGACAGGAAGTAACACGCGAGGCTAGAGCAGGCTTGCTCCGCCTCAATCTTCCAACACGGTAGGTAGGTAGGTAGAAAGGTGAAGAACAGCCAGGCTCGGACTGCGTTTTATACCCACCCAGCCCATGTCCCGAATCCAGCCATCGCGGTGTGTGTGCGCCACCATGAGCCGCGCCGCGGAGCTTGAGGAGCTCGCTCGCCGGTCCGCGGTGAGCGGCGCATCATCGTCGCTGAGGCACACCCTTGAGAGCATCTTCTCGAACTCGCAAGGCTCTCCTCCGCCGTCGATGAGCTCACCCGCATCTGAGAACCCGAGACAGTCAGCGCGTCCGCCACCGCCACCGCCGCCACCTCCTCCTCCACCTCCGCCTCCGCGACCGGGTGAACGTAGTGGTGCGGCCCCGCCAGCGTCTCCAAACCAGCAGACGGAGGGACCTGGCGGCAGAAGGCCGCGCGCCGCCAGGCGACGAGGCGGCGGCGGCGGCGGCGGTGGCGGCAGTGGTGGTGGTGGCAGCGGCAGAGGCGGGACGATGGTGTGGCTGCCTATGGCGATGGCCGCCTTCGCTCTGCTGGTGGCTGTCGGCGCGTCTGCCCTCTCGCTGCACAGTCCGACGGCCCGGGCAGAGGCGGACCTCCCCGGAGTGCGGGAGGGCACAGCGCCGTGGCTGGTCGAGCTGATGCGGTCGAACCAGCACGCGCACTCGCAGGCGCAGCAGGCCGTCTCGGGCGCGTACCACGACGCCTCCCGCCGCGCAGACGCGTGCTCCGAGGAGCTGCGCGCCGCCGTGGCCGACCTGGCGCGCGCCGAAAGCCGCGCCCAGACCTGCGATCGCGACTTGCTGGCGCGCGACGAGTACCTCAAGGCGGCGGCGCCGGAGGTTGCTCGCATCAAGGCGCGCTCTCTTCCTCCGCACGAGCTCGAGATCACCCGAGATCACCCGAGACCGCCCGAGATCACCCGAGATCTCATCCGAGATCACCCGAGGTCAGGCGGAGCTCAAGGAGGCGCAGGAGCAGCTCGTGCGCGTTGAGGCGTACTTCGGTGCTGCGGCGATGGCCGAGGTGCGGCCCCCACCCACGCGGGACCGACCCTCCCTCCACAACCTGTGTTGTGGGGACTCCCGGCCGTGCCCCCCCCCCCCCCCCCCCCTCCCCCCTCCCCCCTCCCCCCCTCTTCGCGCGGGTGCGGTCTGTGAGGCCCGGCCGTGCTCTCTGATAGGCGAGTCGTCACCGAGGCTGGATCGACGTGCGGTCTGTCGCCGTCGCCGTCCAGAGCCTCTCAAGGCGACGCTCGGTCCCTTCTTGTAGGCTGGCTTGCGCGCGCCCTCGCGCTTGGGGCGGACCGGAGGCTCGCGGGAGGAGCAGGAGGCGGAGGCGGGAGGAGCGCCGTTGCGACGCCCACGGTCGGTGGCGGGTCACCGCGAGGTGCTGCTGCTGCGCGGTGAGGTGGCGTTATCTCTTTGGCGGGGGGGGCGGGCTCCCGAGGCATCGAGACCGCCCCAGCGATGCAGAGTGACTCACTATGTGTGCTATAAGACCCGTGCCGGTGCGGGTCGTTTGTTCAGCCCCCGTGCGCGAAGGCCTTGTAGCCGGGAGTGCGCCGGTGCATCAGACAGGAATCAGAATTGTGCCTTGCGATGAGTCCCCTCGTTTTGTTATTCAGTTTTCAGATCGTTAAATCTCTCAAGCGTCACAAGGCACACGCGCACGCCGCGCACCGCGCACGCGAAAACGAGAGAGACCCCGCGCTTCTGAGAGGTGTCAGGTGAGAGGACACTGAGACCGTGAGAGCTGAGAAGGGAGCGTCTAAGCTGGCTGCGATCGTGGCCGTGTCAATACTACACATCACAAAAACAAACGGCGCTACGACGCACCCTCTCAGCGCCGGCGCAAGCCGTACTCGTGCATGGTCGAGTCCTTGAGCACCGCGCATACGCGACCATGCACGAGACCACGAGTACGAGCCGTCGGCCCGCTTGTCGAGCTTGGCCACCTTCTTGATTATGCCCTGCAGGTGCTTCCTTACCTCGGCGCCAAAGGAAGGGGGCACCTCCTTGAAGTGCTTGATGAGCTGGGGCAGGGCGAGGGCCCCCTTCTCGTGCAGCAGCATCACCACCACGTCGCGCTCGCTGCCTCGCTCAGGGTCAGCGCAGACGAGTTCTCGCGATGATACGCGATCAGGTACTCGGGGCAGATGTAGTCGCTCGCGTGGAAGATGACAAACTCGCGGTACCGGTCGTGGCCCGGCCCCTTCTCCGCGATGAGCGAGTGGTAGTGCATCGGCGGCGCCACGTTGGGCACGGGGGCAAGCTCGCGCACGTTCACGGGGAAAACGCGCTCGTTCGGATCGTCGCAAGACCTCGCCAGCGCTCCCGCGTCCTGGGTGTCCGGATCGGATGGCCGAGCGCGACGCGGCACACGAGCGCATAGTGCAAGGCGGTGCCCGGGGGTGGGGGTACGACCGGCCGTAGAGCCGCTGGTGAAGGTCGCTCGCCGGGTCGTAGTTGGCGTCGGCGTCGACGTACTGGTCCGCCTTGCCAAGATCCTCCGCTAGGTATGCGCCATTCCCAAACGCGGCGCCCGCGTGCGTGCCGCTGAAGCGCTCGTTGAGGCCGTTGGCGAGTACGGTGAGCAGCGAGCTCCGTCCGTGGGATGCCGTGCAGCAGCAGCACCTCGTTCAGCTCGGCGCGCAGCTGCAGCTTGCCCTGCGCCTCGAGCGCCGCCGCCGTGCTCGAGGTCATCATGTCGCGCCACACCTCGCTTGCGCTTCAGGCAGTCGAGCTCGTCCGACATGCAGCGCGTGCCGCCCTCGACGCGCGCGCTCCGGCGCGGGTTCTGGATGCGCCACGCGCAAGCGAGCCGCAGCGAGTCGTACGTGCCCTGAGACGCATCGCGCCCGCGCCCCAACCATGCGCCGTGCGTCGCACTCAGGCCCGAGAGCGCGCGCCACACCGCCGGGTCGCGCCTCTCCGAGAGCGGCCAGAGCGACATGCCGTCATCCTCCGCCAGCTCCTTCTTCGACTTCTGCCGCTTCGAGGGAGGCTGCTGCGACGAGCCCGCGGCCTGCTGTAGTTGCTGCTGCTGCTGCGCCTGAGGCTTTGGCGCCGCCGCCGCCGCCAGCGCCTGCGCCGGCTGCTGCTGTGCGGCCTTGGCGGCCGCCGCCTTCATCGAGGTCGTGAAGCTGCGCAGCGACGAGCCCGCGACCAGCGACTGCGCACGACCCGCGACGCCCGCGACCGCCTTGCGCTTTGACAGCGGCGCGTCATCCTCCGAGTCCGAGTTGAGGATGACGCGCCCGGCAGCGACGATCGCCCTGCGCTTTGACAACGGTATGTCCTCCTCCGAGTCCGAGCCCGCCACCTGCTGCTCTGCCGCTGCTGCGCCTGCGGCTTTGCCGCCGCCGTCGCCGCCGCCGCCAGGAGCGGCGTGGCCGCCGCCTGTGCCGGCTGCTGCTGTGCCGCTGGCTGCTGCGCCGCTGACTGCTGCGCAATCTGCTGCGCTGCCGGCGTCCCAGCAAGCAAGGGGGCCGGGGGCGGCATGGCAGGCGTGTACTCCAGTGAGACGGTTCGGTCTCGTCGCGCAAACGTCGCGGTCGTCGGCCCGTGCCGCGTGCCGCGCGCCGTGGGTCGTGGGGTTGTTGAGGCGTGAATCCTTTAGGATTCTCGCCCGCTCTGCTGAGGGGAGGGGATGCTCGACTGGGCCGGTCGCTCGACCCGATTCTACTCTACTCTCAGTCTACCATTCATGGACAATAGTGTCTGTGACGGCGGTCACATTCACAGCGAGGTCAGTTCACAGCCGAGCAATCGATCCTGACACGCTCCACTTTCAGGGCTCGCCGCGGCTCGAGCAAGGTCAATGGCGATCGGCATCTTGCCAGCTGTGGCTTGCCCGTCTACCGCTACCGCGCCTTCAGATACAGTCGCAGAGAGGCTTGGCTTCGCTCAGACGTCATTCGTGCCTTGCTGGCGCGTGCGGTGCCATGCTTTCCTGCGGTTCTCTACGTTTATCGTTTTTGTCGGTGCGATTGCCGTGGTGGCGGTGGGTGCAGCCGAGCCGAGTGTCGTCGTTGACGGCACCGCGCTCGTCTTTCGACTGCCTCGCTTCCTCTACGGGCGCGGGGACGCGTGAGTCAGCGCACAGTCAAAGTAACTGGTGTGCGTTGAATGTCTGTTGTCGTCGAGGTTCTGCTGGGTCAGCTCACCGATGTGGTCCCGGCCGGCCTACGCGACAGCATCTGCGATATTGCTCGGCCGCTGACGCCTCGATGGTGGGTCGCCATTGCGAGGCCAACAATCCGGCGAGCTATGCCAATGTCGTTACCGTTGCAGTGGTTTGGGGCGCCTCTCTGGCACTATCTTTGATGCCAGTGCGGTTCCCCAGACTTGGACAGATGCCAAGTGGCAGTCCATCCTCGCCTACCTCCGCAATGGAGGCAGGTAGTCGGCATATGGATTATGGTCGAGTCTGGCGTCGATAGGACCCAGACCGATGCATTCTGCTTCAGTTCCTCGCGCGCTGTCCCTGCAACCCACACTTCAGCCCATCGACGGCCAGCACCCAGTGTCTGATTGACCCGCCGGCTGTGCGTCAGCAGCGGCTTCAGACGGGTCTGCGCCTGACGGGGATTTTGTATTGACGGGCTCTGCAGACAGCGCGTGGAAGCAACGACGCGAGGCCGTGGCCACAGTATGGACTGCTGTGGTCAGCGGGATGGTCGCCGTGGTTTGCCTTGCGGATCTATATGAAATATGCTCTGGATCCGCGCTCTGCTCGGTGCAGGGTGGTGAACCGCGAGCGTACTACTCGTAGCGACGCAACCGCTGCGGATCAGGAGGCGATCCCACCTCGAGCCTGTACGCTCGCTGAATTCAGCTGTGGTCCTGCCGGGAGCGGGGCCCGGCTGACTCTCGCGCTCGCGTAACTGGTCTCAGGGACCGAGCGTGGGAGACGAGAGTATCTTCAGTTGTTGGTCCTGCCGGGAGCAGAACCCAACTGGCTCGTACTCGTGTTCCTGCCGGGAGCGGGGACCGGGTGCGAGTTGATACTTTCGAATGTCCGGATGGACAGTCAACCGTATTCGTGTTACTGCCGGGAGCAGCGGCCGGGTACGGGCGACATACATTCAGTGGGCCAGACGAGAGGTTGGCATCCCCGCCTTTGATTCCAGGGCGGTCGAGCAGCAGCCTGCAGGTGGCGGGCTGCTGCCGACCGACCCTAGGCTCCCGTTCAGCTTTCTTCCGCGTGTCGCATGGCCGTGGATGGAGGTATGGGCGAGGGTCGACCTCACTCGCCGCCGTTCATTACGGCAGACGCGGTCGGCCCCGTCTCGACGCCCTCAAGGGCGGGGGACGGGCCACGACATGCCGCCCTCCGAGTAGTTATGGAGGTACGTGGCGCCGTCAACACGCTCCCGAGTAAGTCGGTGTGACTGGGAGCGCCCCGCACGACTACCCGTCCTAAATGGGGATCGTGGTGTTCGTGTGGGGCAACAGGCGAGTGCGGCGCGCTCCACGGTCAATCTCTGACCCTTCGGCCCGCGTGGCGTAGGGCCTGAGAGACGGCCGCCGAGGATGTCGGGCGGGTTCGGTTCGGTCGAATGGACCTGTCACTGATGACACCGGACTCGACTGGGGCGTTGCCGGAGGCGATGGCGGGAGGGCACTCGATGGGCCCGCCATCGACCACTGATGGGAGATTGGCGCGTGGGCCATGGTTGTTGGGCGCGTGGGCCGAGGTGGTTGGCGCGTGGGCCAAGGGTGGACGAGGATGGCCAAGGCTGGCCGAGATAGGCCGAGGTTGGCCGAGATCGGCCGAGGTCGGCCGAGGTTGGCCGAGATTGGCCGAGATTGGCCGAGATTGGCCGAGATTGGCCGAGGTGGGCCGAGATCGGCCGAGGCTGTCCAGAGATCCGCCGAGAGCGTCCCTCACTCGCCTCTTTCTGTGTAGGGACTTTGAGTAGATGCTTGACTAGTCTCACGCTCGGATTCAGATTCAGAGAGATCCACTGGCTGCTACCAGACCAGCTCTGGGCGCACGCCAGATGGGCAGGTTGATCGATCCACTCGTGGTCGATCTTTCAATTGCCTTGCGCGACGCATGATTTCGGCCGATGTCGTCGATGGGGCAACAATGGTCGATTGACGACACGGTCGGAGTAATGCTCTTCGACGTCGAAGCAGCAGACCGTATGGGCAGGATCATCAACTCGCTCAGTTAAAATTTGGGTCACGACGAAGCAGCAATCAGGTCGGCAGCTGCTATCGTTTAAGTCGACAGTGGCAACGGTGTTTGACACTGTTGATGAGTGCAACTGTGGCGTGCTTGCCACCCAAGCGAGTGTAGGCCCGACTCGCGTCGGGTGCTATTTCCTCATCGTCATCGCTACGGCGGGGGCGGGGGGGTTTTACCGGAGCACCGGACTACTCGCTGGGATAGTTGCGAGATCGGTCGATAATCACGATCGGTCTCTCGGGCGCATGGTCGTGCGACGTCAGCGACTCAACCGCCAGTTGCCATCCCTTACCTTTGAGGTGATTCGAGGAGGTCTATGCGTGGGGTTCAGCTGAGCTTAGGCCGTTCCGGGCATCGACCTTCCATCATACTACCTCAAAGGTCGAGCGTGGGGAGGCTCAGCAGCCCACCACAGGGAGGTTTCGTCAGTCTCGGCGTCGCATCTGCCGCGCCGAGATTCGACGGACCGAAGGGGTAGAGGCTAGCGCTCTCGGTCGAGAGAAGCGCATTACTCAAGACAATGATTACTACATCATGCACGACCTCGAGCGTGCAACGCCGCACAGTGCTCAGGGTTCGAGCAGGTGCAGGCGAGTGGAGGGGCCCCTGGCAGAGGAGGCGTGAATCCTTTAGGATTCTCGCCCGCTCTGCTGAGGGGAGGGGACGGTCGACTGGGCCGGTCGCTCGACCCGATTCTACTCTACTCTCAGTCTACCATTCATGGACAATAGTGTCTGTGACGGCGGTCACATTCACAGCGAGGTCAGTTCACAGCCGAGCAATCGATCCTGACACGCTCCACTTTCAGGGCTCGCCGCGGCTCGAGCAAGGTCAATGGCGATCGGCATCTTGCCAGCTGTGGCTTGCCCGTCTACCGCTACCGCGCCTTCAGATACAGTCGCCCCTCCCGCCCACGCCGGCGACTGTCTGAGGTGCAGTTGACATCTGGATGACTGCGCATAATGGGGTTGACCCGCCGCGCAGCAACCCGATGTTCACGATTTAGGTTTCCGTCGAGTGACGAGTCTCGTCCGAGACGTCTAGTCTCATCCCGCCTCGTGGCATACCTGTTCTAGTGTGTCATGGGTGTCCCAGTGGTGTTCTCGTGTGTGGGGGAGGCTCAGCAGCCCACCACAGGGAGGTTTCGTCAGTCTCGGCGTCGCATCTGCCGCGCCGAGATTCGACGGACCGAAGGGGTAGAGGCTAGCGCTCTCGGTCGAGAGAAGCGCATTACTCAAGACAATGATTACTACATCATGCACGACCTCGAGCGTGCAACGCCGCACAGTGCTCAGGGTTCGAGCAGGTGCAGGCGAGTGGAGGGGCCCCTGGCAGAGGCACGAGTATGGGCCAAAAGCGTCGAAAATGTCCGAAAAAGCGTGAATCGAGATTGTTGCAGCTCCGCAGCCAGCGCGGGCTGCCAGGACGCACCGCTCGCGCGTTCGGCACACTCGGTGGACCCCACCGAGTGTGCCGAACCAACTGGAGTGAGTAGGCTCGATGCCGTGCTCGCTGTGGGGCTGCAACAAACTCGCCGCCGAGCGTGCCACCGACGGCGTCCCGTCGGAGGTGATGGAGTGTGAGACCTGAGGCTGCGGAGGTGACGCCTGAGGTACCGGCCCGTGCACAACGACTCAGCCGGCGACCGCCACGGGCTCAGACGAGACCTGTCGACTCGTTACGGCTCAGCTTCACCGTGGTCCTCGGGCGTCTGTCGACGTCAGGACCACCCATACAGCTTGCGGGTTTGAGGTCGCAGGAGCCAAGATGGTGGCGTTTGGACATCCCAACCATCCCACAAGACAGCCTGTGGGTGATGGCGGGACGGCGCAGTGTCTGTGGCACTCGGCAGTAGGCACCCGCGGCACGGCCCCGCTGTCGGCTCTCGCGGGCTGCGGAACCGGCCCCAGAAGGGGACGGTCCGGGCGAGTGTGGCAGCTCCTGCGCTAGTATGGGCACCATCTATCACAACACTACTGACCCTGGCCATTAGAGGTGCCAGGAATAGCGTCAGGAGCCGGTAGTAGTCAAAACCCCTCATATTTGAGACATCGTGGCCCATATACTCGTGCAACAACCCCGTGGGTCGGCGGTCGGGAAAGGGGGGGTGGTTTCGCGTAGCCTGCACACGTGTTTTGAGTTAGATCTACGTTCATCGTACATCTCTCCAGGCACGCGAAAACGAGACCCTGTGCAGGGATGTGTCGTCCCCGTTTTAAGGGACAGAGTACTTTACACATGCACGACCCTGCCGTGAGCGGTGAGGAGCCCCCCAGCGACTCCGGCCTGAGTCGAGGCCTGAGCGGCAAAGTCGCGGCTCTCTCCATCCCGGTCGTAGCCGTACGAAGAGCTCTCTACTTTTTCTCGCCGTCCTTCTCCGCCTCCATCAGCGCCTTCATCTGCGCGAGCTCGTCATCGACGCCGCTCTGCGAGGCGGCGAGAGGGGGTGCGAATGCTGCAGTGCGCTCGGCGGGGACTCTTGGAAACGCTGGGAGGCGAAAGTTCGGAGGAGGTGAACGACAGCCGCGGGTGGCTCTAGGGGCGTAGCCGCGATCAGCCGGGGCCGCCGCACCTGCGGCAAGATGTTGCGCTTCATCTTCTCGAGCTCATCGTCCACGCCGCCGCGCTCCAGCGCCTGACAACAGAAAGACACGGCTCGGCGGTTTCTTGTCTCGAGCGAGGCTCGTCCATCGCCGCCGGCGCTCGTGCGCGCCTTGAACTGCGCGTCAAGGGAAGAGCCGGAGCCGATACCTGTGGGACGGGTCGCCGACCAAGTCAGCGACATGTCAGCGACGGGCAGGCACGCCGCCGTGGCCGGAGGCGCCTATCGGACGCGGCACGGGCTCGTCCATGGACATGTCGCGGACGTGTCCGGAGGTGGCGCTGGGGGGGGGGGGGGGATGCCAGAGGAGGACGACGCGGCGAGCTGCTTGGACACCTCCGCCTCTGCCTCGAGCTTGTCCACCTTCGGGGGGAGGGGGGGGGAGGAGGGGGAGATCGAGGGGAGATCGAGGGGAGATCGAGGGAAGATCGAGGGGAGATCCGAGGGGAGATCGAAGGGAGATCCGAGGGGAGATCGAGGGAGATCGAGGGGAGATCTCGAGAGAAGATCGAGGGGAGATCGAGGGGGGAGTCGGGGAGATCGGCTCGAGCACTCTCCACGATCGGGGGAGGGGGGGAGATCGAGGGAGATCGAGGGTGTGGGACAGGGGGAGATCGGCGAGCTCTTCCCACCTTCTCCGCCATCTTGTCGAACGCAGCCATCGAGGAGCCGTCGCCGATGCCGGAGAGCATGTCGTTCACCTTGGTCGCGGCCTACACTCCTTCATTCGACTTTGGCACCGGGTCTGCGAGGGGACTCCACGCCGAAGGTCGTGCCGCGGCCTTGGCCGTGCGGGCGCGCGCGATGATCTGGTCCTTCTTGGCTTTGGCCTCGGCCATCTTCGCCTCGAGCTCCTACAGGGGTGAGCACGCCAGCCTCGGGGCGGGAGGGCGGTGTTGTGCAGAGGCCTCCGGAGCGGGCCGCGTGAGTACGAGGGGCTGTCTGAGCTTGTGCGTCTTGGGTCCGTGGTTGTGTTTTTGTGTGAGTACGAGGGGCTACGAGGGACAGTGAACCCAGCGGAAGGCAGCGGAAGGCAGCGGAGTCCGTGCCCTCTCGAGCGCCGGGTGGGTGACAAGGGTTCGCCTCCCGCTCCTAGACATTTCCTAGGGCCGCTCTCCTTCATGGAGTGTCTAGGAAGTGTCTCCTTCATGGAGGTGTCTCGGAAGTGTCTCGGAAGTGTCTCGGAAGTGTCTCGGAAGTGTCGCTCTCCTTCATGGAGTCGTACAGCGACGTCAGCGAGCCGGCGTTGCCCTCGACCTGCGGTCGCTCCTTCAGAGTGAACGCGTCGCACTCGTACCGTTGGCTACACAGCACGCGTCGCCCTCCGCCTGCCCTCGCAAGTTGTCGACGAGCTCCAGCTGCTGCGACCGGCGGCCGAGCGCCTGCCGGGCGAACGAAGTGTCTCGGAAGTGTCTCGCGAGCGTCTCGGAAGTGTCTCTGCTCCGAAGCGTCTCGGAGGCGTCTCCGAAGTGTCTCGGAGGCGTCTCCGAAGCGTCTCTGAAGCGTCTCGGAAGTGTCTGGCCGAGCGCCTCTCTGGCCAGCTCCTCCTCGCCTTTCTCAAGCGCAAGCTGTGCGCGCTGGTACCACTTGTCCGCCTCGCCCTGCGCCGCCGGCCGAGAGGGCGGCGGCGGGTGAGGGCGCGACCAGGGCAGTGGTCGCTGGCAGGGCGCCAGCGCCGATGAGAAGGAGTGGCAGTGAGTGGCCGCGGTGGTTTGGGGCGGCGAGGGCGGCAGTGGTGGGGGAGGAGAGGGCGGCGAGGGAGGCGGCGAGGTTCGTTGGCGAGGGCGGCGCGGGTGGGCGTTGCGACGGCCGCGCTGGCCGGCGAGGGCCGGCGAGCGGCCGCCTGTGCGAGCTTGGACTGCTCCTCGGCGCGCTTGGACGAGGCCGACACCTCAGCGTAGGCCTGGCGGACCTTGGTGAGGTCGCGCTGCATGTCGGCGACGGCCTGCTCGAGCACCTTCTCCGGGTCCTCCATCGCGCCCAGCGCCTGGTTCACGTTCGACTTGACAAGCCGGACGAAGCGATCACCAAGGTTCATCGACGCTGCGGCGCGCGTCGGCGCCGCGGCGCGCGTCGGCGCGCCCGCGCAAGCGGGCCGCGCAGTGAGGGCGCACGGCGGCTGCGACGCGACGGCTGGACGTGCATGGGGCACGTACGCGGCGGCAGGGGCTGCTGCCAGCACAAAGAGCGCGAGGAATCTGTTTATCATGCTGGGGTGGCGTCGCTGCAAAAAGAATTAGGGCGGCGTACCGGGCGCTCGCACTGGCACTAACACAGGTACACCACGGGAGCCGCCTAAGCGACTCCTGCGAGAGTGGCGAGGCACTTAGCTCCGTGCACCCGCCCACCCCCAAAAAGAATTTTAGAAAAACTCCTGGCACAACACTGGGCACGGGACTGGAACAAATCTCTCTCTCGGGACTAGGCCGCGGGATGATGCGTGCGTGGTCTTGTAGTGGGTCTCGGAAGCTCTCCTCTCGGGCTAGGAGCCAGCCCCTCTCCCTTGCCCTCGGAACACAGACACAAACAAGCTCACAAGACACCATTGGCTTGGAGGCACCAGCGTGTTTCTTGTAATGACCAACATCCGTGTGTGTGTGTGTACTTGTTACGTGAAAACCCGCTGGGACCCGGACGCCAGCACACACGGCTAGATTTCATGGCGGGCCGCCTAGGCCCTGGGATCGGAGGTAGAGTCGGTGGTGGTGCCGCGCGCGGCGCGGGCTTCGCTGTCGGGGGCGTCTAGGGCGGGGTCGGGGAAGGAGGGTGGGGTCGGTCGCATTATTGGCGGCCGCGCGGCGGTGGGTGCAGAGAAGACGCGCCGCCGTTGCACCATCATCGGTCCCACTGGAGCAGGCCGATCTCCTAAGCTGCAGCACGCCACTGTTTAGCGCCACGATTGCCGCATAATGCTCTGCCGCTTGCTGCTGCTCGCCTCGCTGGCACCACGCGGGAGAGCTCCAGCGGCTGCCGTCAGCGCTCTCGCCGTCCGGCTTGCTCACCGTAGCGCCATCAACCCCACCGCACGCTCACTCGGCCGCTACTGCCGCCTACGAATGTCCGATAGCGAGCAGTATGACGTCGTGGTCGTTGGCGGTGGCGCGGCGGGTGTCTTCGGCGCGATCGCGGCCGCGCGTGCCGGCGCCAGCGTGCTCTGTCTGGAGGGCGGAAGCCAGCCGTTGCGCAAGGTGCGCATCTCCGGAGGCGGCCGCTGCAACGTAATGCACGACGCGCAGACGTGGCAGGCGTCTCGAGACGCAGTCGCGCAAAGGTACCCCCGCGGCGCCGACCAGCTGCTCGGGTCTCTCGCCTCGCGCTTCTCGCCGGAGGAGACGCAGGCACATGCACATGCACATGCACATGCACATGTCACGAGAGGAGCAGACCAACACGCAGCGGATGGCCGACTCTCCCGCAGGCGTGGTTCGAGGCGGAGGGTGTGCAGCTGAAGGTCGAGGCGGACGGCCGCGCCTTCCCCACCACCGACAACTCGGCGACCATCATCGACGCGTTGCTCGGCGCTGCCGAGCGGGCCGGCGTCGTTCTGCGGACGCGCGCAAAGGTGTCCGACCTGGCGCACGACAGCGGCGCAGCTCCGCCGCGCTTCGGGCTGAAGTACGCCAGCGCCAGCGGCGGCGAGACGGCGGCGGTGCGCTGCAGCGCGGTGCTGCTCTCGACGGGCAGCTCGGCGCACGGGCTGGCTGCAGGCCTGGGACACCGGATCGTGCCGCTCATCCCGTCCCTCTTCTCCTTCCGCTTGTGCGCGGGCGGCGTGCTCGACGCGACGCTGGCAGGCAGGCTTCTCTGGTAGGCAGGACACGGCGCACACGCGTGGGGAGGTGGTCGAGAAAGGAAGAGCCACGCAGCTGTGCACCGAGATTGGCAGCTCGGGCATCACCTCGTTGCGGCGGACGGAGGGAGAGATGCGCCGAACGAGTGGGTGGGAGACAGGCTCGTGCCACGACCGGTAGTATCAGATGGGGCGTACGAAGGGTAGCGCCTCGCCGCCCTGCGACTCCTCGCGAGAGAGAAGCCCCCCCCCCCCCCCCCCCGGCTCGTGCTTGCGCGGTGCCGCCCCAGCGTACTACAGCGTTGCTCTCCGCCTCGGCCTCTGCTCCGCAGGCGTCTCGGTACCCGACGTGGAGCTGTCCCTCGAGCTGAAAGCGTCGGAGAGCGGCGGCGGCGGAGGAGGCGGCGGCAGAGGCGGCGGAGGCGGAGGCGGAGGCAGGGGCGGTGGCAAAGGAAGGGGGCGCGGCCGGGGGGGGCGCAGCCGTACCGGTAGAGGAGGCGGGCCTTCGCCGTCGCTCTCTTCGCGTGGCCCTTTGCTGGTGACGCATCGCGGAGTCAGCGGGCCCGCGGCACTCAAGCTCAGCGCGTTTGCTGCGGTGGAGCTGGCAGAGGCGGGGTACGCCGGCGCGCTCAAGCTCAACCTGCTTCCTGCGCTTAGTGGAGCGGGGGTGGTTGGTGCTCTGGAGGCATTCACCGTCGACGGTCGGCGGAAGCTGGTGCGCAACGCCAATCCATTCGGGCTGCCTGGGAGGCTGTGGGAGGCGGTGGCGTGCGGCGGAGGCGACGAGGCGGAGGCGACGGGCGCCAAGCGGTGGGGAGAGCTGCGCCGTGCCGAGGTCGAGGCGCTGTCCTCGCGACTCACGGCGACACCGCTGCCCTTCTCTGGCAAGGACTCGAACAAGGACGAGTTCGTCACTTGCGGAGGCGTGGACTGGAGAGACGTCGACGCGACGCAGATGCAGTCGAGGCTCGTCCCGGGGCTCGTTGTCCTAGAAGCGCACGCACCCCGCTGCAATCCGCCGGATTCGGCTGTATTCGCCGTGTCCCTCGTCTTCACGCGGCGCTCCGAATGCGCGGCGCGAGACCGTCTTCCCGCCCTCAGGGTCCCGTACTCATACACCGCAGGCTCTTTTTCGCGGGCGAAGTGCTCGACGTCGACGGCGTCACCGGCGGCCACAACTTTCAGTCCTGCTGGACGACGGGGCACGTGGCGGGGAGCGGCGCCGCCGAGCACGCCGCGGCGTGCAGCGTGGCGCCGGAGGCGGTGGCGCCGGAGGCAGGGGCGGCAGCAGACACATTCCGTTTGCGAGGGGGCTGGCGCGCGGCCGCTTGCGCCGCCGCGTCAGGCGGCCAGCACGCCGCTCTAGCCGCAACCCTGACCCCGACCCTGGCCCTGACCCTGGGTTTGCCCCTGCCCCTGCCCCTGCCCCTGCCTCTGCCCCTGCCCCTGCCCCCGCCCCTGACTCTGACCCGACTGTAGGCCGGCACATTGCCGCCCGCGCGACGCTCTGCGCGCGGCCGCGTGCGAGCGGCGCCGAGATGGGCATGGCGCCGGACTTGCCCTCCCTCTATGCGGCGCTGCTCGTCGATCCTCCGCTGCAGGTTGGTGTGTGACGAGACGAGTGTTTCGCCCCCCCCCCCCCCCGCTCTGTGCGTAAGAGCCCTGAGTCGTTTTACTCCATCCGATTGCTGTTCAGGTCGACGGCGTGCGGGTCAACCCGTCAGGCTGGTTCGCGGTGGCGGTGGTTGTCGCCAACTCGCTGTTCGCGCCGTGGGGCATCGTCAACGTACAGCGCCGCGGCGGGCTCGGCAATCCGTGGTGGCGGGGCGATAGTCCTCCGCTCAGCGGAACGGACGACGGGGAGGCCGAGGCAACTGAGAACAGGAAGGAGGAATGGCGTCGGTGAAAGCTCCCAATTGCGGTTTGCGCGTTTAGATGGTTTGTTTTTGTTTTCTCTCTCTGGAGCTATTGCAATAAGTGCCTCGCCACCCTCTCTACGCAGGAGTCGCTTAGTAACGGGCTTAGGCGGCTCCCGTGGTGTACCTGTGTTAGTGCCAGTGCGCGCCAGTCCCGTGCCCAGTGTTGTGCGACGGCCGACGGAGTTTTGTTGTAAAATTCTCACATGCAGTTCGAGACTGCGCCCACGGCGGGCACGTCGCCCCATGGTGCGCGTAGCTATGACAGGGACCGCGGCCGCGGAGCCGGCGGCGGACGGGGCTGGCGCGCAAGCGCCGGCCACCGTCGTGCCGCCGGGAACGCGCCGCGGACGACCCTGGAATAGCAGCCATCGCGCGCACATGGAAGACTGCCTCATTGCCGCAAGGCTCGCAGGTGTGTCGCAGCTCAGGGATGAGTGCCCTGGCTACGGGACGGCGACCTTCGAGCTGAAGTCCGAGAAGGCCGCGGGTGACCGCGAGCCTGTGCAGGCGGCGGAGCGCTCGTTCATCGAGCGCACCGCGTCGCGGAAGGAGAAGCCGACGGAGGAGCAGAAGGAAGCTCGGGCCGCGGCTCGCAGGGCCAAAAAGGCCCGGCAGAAGAAGAACAAGGCGGAGAAGGCTGCGGCGGCGGCTGCGAGCGAGGCCGAGCGTGCGGACTACCCGCACGCGCAGCTGCGCGAGAACGTCGAGTTCGTGATGGAGGGCCTGGAGGGTGCGACGCAGGCGGCGCGCATCCCCACAGGGTCCAACATTCAGGTCGCCTACTCGCTGCCTCCCGAGGGGGGCAGCGGGTTCGGCGACCTGGTGTACGCCACGGTCCCTCTGGGCTCCGTGGCGACGAAGGTCGCCCGGGACTGGCTCGCCAACGAGCTCTACGAGCCGTCCCGGCGCGGCAAAATTGATGCGGCCTGCAGGGACCGAAAGGTCGCCGACCTGATCACGGCTGCCGGCGCCTCGGCGCCGGCCGACGCCGTGTTCAGCGGCAGGTTCGCGACGGGCGAGGCGCCCCGCCCGACGACCTCCGCCTCCAAGGCGGACGAGGGAGACGGCGTCGGCGGCGATGGCGGGACCGGCATCGAGCACTTTGACCTTTTCGAGCCGGACCCCACCCCCATGGAGGATCTCTGAGGTCCTCCCCAGTCTCACCCACCTTACCTCTGCCCCCTCCTCCCCCCATCCCTCTGCCTCCCATAGGGCAGGATAGCACTAGCATATGCGCCGAGTGCGCACACTGGGCCCACATAGATGCGACCCGCCCACTCGAGTGCGGCGCCCGGATGCTAGTGCTTGAGAAGACACCACAAAACGCGGCACGGCCCGTTTTGGATGTCTGCGGAGATTCATTTTCTGTCTTAGCACACACAGTGAGTCCGGCGCTGCTTGCAGCGCTCTGGGTGGTAGTGGCGGCGCTCCAAGAGTGGTGCTCTTGGGAAGAGGTTCCTCCTTTCCGCTCCCCCTCGGCTTCCGAGTCGCCCAAGCGACAGCGAATGGCAATCGATGGACGCCGCTTCTGGAGCAACTCAGTTAATCGCGACATGCTGCGCGTTGCGCGCGGGCAGAGCTATGCCGGCAACATGATCTGCCTCGCACCCGGTCTTCACGTCTCCAAATTTTCGCGCGGGCAGAGCTAGGCGATCCGTCCGATTCGGAGAACGAGGGCGAGGGCGAGGAGGAGGCGGAGGCGGAGGCGGAGGCGGAGGCGGAGGACGAGGACGAGGACGAGGACGAGGACGAGGACGAGGACAGCGACAGCGGCGACACACCCCTCAAGCTACAGACGAACCTCACGACGGAGGTGGAGAGGGAGGTGGACCTCTTCTTGGAGTCGGAGAGGAGGAGCAGTTCACCTTCGAGGAGTTCTACTGCACGCTGCCCCCGTGGGCGCGCGGCCGGCAGAAGGAGGTGCTGGCCGCGCTCAAGCGGCTCGTCAACGGCTACATGTGTCGCCGGCGAAGCTAATCATGGACGACGACGACGACCATAGCACAGCCGCCAACTGCTAAAATCATGAGAGACCCACGCCCGCCAAGAGGTCCTCTCGGCCAAGAGGTCCTCACACCAGTCGCCAGAGGTCCACGACACCATCGGTGACGCTTGCCTCCTCACCTCCTCGAGCAGGCCCTCATCACACCGCATTTACGTCACCGGCGTACCTTCTCCTGGAAAAGTTATTAGCAACATGCCGGTTTCGGACATCGGCGAACGATGAAGGGTGCCGCCGGCACACAAATGGAGTCCAGCGATGTGGGACCTCAGTCCCAGAAGCTTGGAGCTTCAGGCCGCGACCACGTGGCTAGGTGGACACTAAAGTGCCATTTTGGCGCCAAATCTTGGCGGGAAATGACACGTGGTTGGCGGGAGTGTGGTGTGGCTGCGCTGCTCGACAGCGCTGCTGTTGAGCGCCAGCTGCTGCTCCCTTCAGCCAGACGGCCGGGCCTGCGCAGCACGACCGCTGGCCTCCCTCCTGCATCACAGGAGCGCGCCAAGGCGCGCGTCTGGGCAAGCAGTGCGTCTCATCGCGATGCGAGAGTCGACGCTGTGACGCCGCCGCTCGCCGGCTAGATGACAGTGGCAGCATTCGAATACGCGTCGAGCTGTGCGTACCAGCACTTGTATGCGAGCTAATTGTGTCCCTGTGCTGCTGTGGGGTGCGTGGGCTCAGCTGCGGAGCACGTACTGGGCGGCGGTAGGGGGGTGACCATCCACTTTGCCGCGCAGCAGGGCCAGCTCGTCGCCGTCCGAGCGATCCTCGCGCAGTCGGGTGCATCTCCCGCCATCAGCACAGCCATCAGCACAGCCCTGCCATCAGCGTAAACAGACACTCATCAAAACGTCGGCCAAGTGCGGCCGTGCAGCAGTGTCGATCGCGACTGCCATCACCGCCGCCCAGCACTAAGGGGCGGCTGCTCCTCTGGGAGGAGGACCTGGAGGAGTTGCGGAGCGGTGCTGGCGGGGGAGGGGGCGGGAAGTCCCGCCACGAACGCCGGCGGGGGGAGCGGCGGGAGCTGACCACGGTGCTCGCGGATTCGACCATCCGCCTTCTGACTGCGAATCCGACGGCGGCTTCTGTGAGGACGACGGCTTCTATTAGAAGCCGTCGTCCGCGTTTTGCCTGTTGTGTGAATCGTGCGTGTGCGAGAGACTTTTGTTGTAAAATTCTTTTGCGAGGAGGCGGCCGGCAAAACACGCGGCGCGCGTAACGCGGTGGAAGAGAGAGAACACCAGCATCGGCACCAACGGCGACGCCCGGTGGTTTGCCACCGCGTGCGCGGGGTTGCCACGTAACGAGAGAGGAGAGTTCCTACATTCCAAATTCTTTTTGAAAGCGCCTTCGTTGTTAATAATACAAACCCAATGGTCCCTTGCGAGCGGTCCTTCGTCGCAGTGACACAATTCTTTTTAGCGAGGCGGCGGGCGAGACGGCGGTGCGGCGGGCGACGGGCGGCTGGCGTCGTGGGCGAGCGTGGGGTGGGCGCCGGAGTGGGAGTGGTGGTGTGTCTGCTCCTGTGGTGCGGGCGACGGCTTCCTAGGAAGCCGTCGCCCGCGAGGAAGCCGTTGCCCGCGCCTCGCCTTGTCGCGTGAATCGTGTCGTGCGGCCGCCGGTCGTAAAATTCTTTTTAGCACGTAGAATGGTCGCTCTCTGCTTGATTGCAGCCTGGACCCTGCGCTCGCCGAGGCCTTCGCTGCTACCTGCAGCGTCGCTGCGACCGGCAGCTTCGCTGCTACCTGCAGCGTCGCTGCGACCGAGCAGCGTCGCACAACGAGCGTGGCAGCCTCAATCGCAATGCCGGTCGCACACGCCAGTCATGCGGGAGCCGGAGCCGCTTCTGTCTCGCATCGCTAGGCTGCCGCGGCGCGTGCTCCACTCCATCACGGAGGGGGCCCCGCCTCCGCCCGGCGAGCGGCGTGTCGGCGTCGCCTTTGTGATGGGCTACCTCTGGCCGGAGCGAGGCGTGCGGACGGCCCGGCTGCGTGTACTCGCGTCCCTCGCGCTGCTCGTCGTGGCCAAGGTCTTCATCGTGCGCGTGCCCTTCATGTTCAAGCGCGCGATCGACGCCGTCGTCGACGGCGCCGTGCCGCGCTCCACCAGCGTCGGGCTCATGTTTGCGTACGGCGTCTCACGCGCGGTGACCCTACCAAACCCTAAACCCAAACCCACACCCAAACCCTAAGCCCAACCCTAACCCTAACCCTTAGCCCTAGGTGTACACCTTCCTCCAAGAGGGGCGCTACCTCCTCTTCACTCCAGTCGGCCAGTCGGCGCTGCGGCGCTTCACCGCAGACGCCTTTGCACACGTGCAGTCGCTCGACGCGATGTGGCTCGGCGACCGCTGAGATATGGGGAGATGTGGGGAGATATGGGGGGATATGGGGGGATATGCGCCTCGTGCGCGTCGCTCACGCGTGGGCTCGAGATCTGGGGAGATCTGGGGAGATACGGCTGTCCCCCAGAGGGCTGTGCCGAATGGTGACTGGTTCATGTATCGCAGTTCGCCATACTAGTAACTCCGCCCGTTCGCCAACTCCGCAGGCGGCCAGTCTACGGGAGAGCTGTCGCGCGTCTTTGCGCGAGGCATGCGCGGCATGAACGCTCTGCTGCGACTCGTCGTCTTCAACATCGGGTTTAATTAAGACTAATTAAGACTAATTAAGACTAATTAAGACTAATTAAGACTAATTAACACTAATTAACACTAATTAACGCACGTCGTCTTCAATATCGGGCCGACGCTGCTCACTCAGTAGGAGGTCGTTAATCAGTTTATCAGCTGAGGAATTCTAATGAATAGGCCGACGCTGCTCGAGACTGCAGCCGTGCCTGTGAACGGCGTCTCTTCACACCTCGCGCTGTGAACAGGCCGACGCTGCTCGAGACGGCGCTCGCGCTCTGGCTGCTGGGGAGGAGGTACGGAGAGAGAGAGACTTTGAGCTACACCAGACAAGTCTATCACTCACCCAGCATTGTTTTCTTTCGAGGTACGGGGGCGCTTTCCTCGCCGTCTCGCTAGCCACGGTCTCGGCCTTTGTCGGCTGGTCTCTCCTCGTCGAGCAGCGGCGGCCTGTTCACAGCTCGAGGTGTGAAGAGACCGCTGCTCACAGGTCTCTCCTCGTCGTGCAGCGGCGGGTGGCTCTGCTCTGCGCCGTCAACGACACGGACAACGTGCTCTTCACCAGGCGGGAGATCTGGGGAGATGTGGGGAGATATAGGGAGATATAGGGAGATCCCCACATCTCCCCACATCTCCCCATCTCTCCCCACATCTCCCCACATCTCCCCAGGCTCTTCAACGCCCTCCTCTGCAACGAGGCGGTGCGCACCAATGCCAACGAGGACTTTGAGGTGCGGCGGTACGACGACTCCCTCGCCCTCGCGGAGAGGCTAGCGGTGGCAGATGCCAAGACAGCCCTGGCCATAACCATAACCACAACCATGGTACGTCTTCGGTCCCCCGCGGGAAGCCCCGCGCCAGAGGACAACAGCGTCTGTTCCACACACGCACAGGCGCACACACACATGGCTCGGACACCCCCCACAGTGTAGTGTAACCCTAACCCTAACCCCAAACCTAACCCTAGCCCTAACCCTGACCCTGGCCCCAGGCTCGCGCAACCCTACCCCTAACCCTAACGCTAACCCTAACCCTAACCCTAACCCTAACCCTAACCCTCACCCTCACCCTCACCCAACCCTCACCCAACCCTAACCCTCACCCTCACCCTCACCCAACCCTCACCCAACCCTCACCCAACCCTCACCCTCACCCCAGGCTCGCGGTAGCAGACGTCAAGACAGTGGCAGCGCTGAACGTCGGCCAGGCCGTCTGCTTCTGGGGCGGGCTGGGCTGCATGATGGTCCTCTGCGCCGGCTGCGTCTCGAGCGGCGCGCTGACAGTGGGCTTGCTCTAGATCTCTCCCCATATCTCCCCACATCTCCCCATATCTCCCCAGGCGCGCTGACAGTCGGCGACGCCGTCGCGATCAACGGGCTGCTGCTGCAGCTGCAGCAGCCGCTCGCCTCGCTCGGGTTCACGTACCAGGAGATTCGGCAGGCCATATCTCCCCATACCTCGCCATATCTCCCCATATCTCCCCACATCTCCCCATATCTCCCCATATCTCCCCACACCTCCCCACATCTCCCCACATCTCCCCATATCTCGTACCAGGAGGCACAGGCCCCCCCCTCTTGCCCTCCCCCATGCGACTCAAGCGGTGGGTGTCGGACACAGTGCGCGCGCTGTGCAGCGGCTGCGCAGTGTTACGGCGGTGGGCTGCAACATTGCTGCAACACCCGTAGGCCACCGCAGACATGCGGCAGCTCCTCTATCTCCCTGTATCTCCCTATATCTCCCCATGTCTCCCCATATCTCCCGGCAGGCCACCGCAGACATGCGGCAGCTCCTCGCGCTGCTGCGCCGGCTGCCGCGCGTGCGCCCTCCCGCGGGCGCACCGCCACTCGCCTCCGCCGGCACCGCCTCGCGGCTGCGCTTCGACGGCGTCTCGTTTGGGTACGACGGATCTCCCCACACCTCCCCACATCTCCCCACATCTCCCCACATCTCCCACATCACCCCCCATCTCCCCACACCTCCTCACATCTCCCCACATCTCCCCACATCTCCCCACATCTCCCCTCATCTCCCCACATCTCCCCACATCTCCCCACATCTCCCCGTAGGTACGACGGATCTCGCCGTGATCTCGAGGACGTCAGCTTCGAGGCCGCACCAGGCACCCGCACCGCCGTCGCCGGCCGACGCGGCTGCATCCCTCTAGCAAAGGACAAGGCGGCACCGGCTCTCTCCGCAGGCACCCGCACCGCCATCGTCGGCTCGTCTGGCTCGGGGAAGTCCTCCCTGCTCAAGCTGGCGCTGCGGCGGCTGCAAGGCCCCGCCTTCTGATGGGCGCTCGAGTGGCCAAGCGAGGCTTGTTGGCTCACCAGGCGCTGCGGCTGCACGACCCCGGACGCGGCCGCGTGACGATCGACGGTGACGACATCGCGGCGGTCTCGCTGAGCTCGCTGCGGCAGCGCGTGTCCCTCGTGCCGCAGGAGAAAGCCCACATCTCCCCACATCTCCCCACACCTCCCCACATCTCCCCATCTCTCCCCGCATCTCACTGCATCTCCCCACATCTCCCCACACCTCCCCGCATCTCCCCACATCTCCCCACATCTCCCCACATCTCCCCATATCTCCCCATATCTCCCCGTAAATCCCCACACCTCCCCACACCTCCCCACACCTCCCCACACCTCCCCACACCTCCCCACACCTCCCCACACCTCCCCCACACCTCCCCCACACCTCGCCCACACCTCGCCCACACCTCCCCACACCTCCCCACACCTCCCCACACCTCCCCGCACCTCCCCACACCTCCCCACACCTCCCCACACCTCCCCACACCTCCCCACACCTCCCCACACCTCCCCACACCTCCCCACACCTCCCCACACCTCCTCACATCTCCCCACATCTCCCCACACCTCCCCACACCTCCCCACACCTCCCCACATCTCGTGCCGCAGGACACGATCCTGTTCGACGACACTGCAGAGTACAACATCCGGTACGGCAATCTCTCCGCCAGCGACGAGCAGGTCGCCTCGTGCAATCTCGGGAATCATCTCGGGTCATCTCGAGTCATCTCGGGTCATCTCGAGTCATCTCGGGTCATCTCGGGTCATCTCGGGTCATCTCGGGTCATCTCGGGTCATCTCGGGTCATCTCGGGTCATCTCGGGTCATCTCGGGTCATCTCTCCGCCAGCGACGAGCAGGTCGCGTCGGCCGCCGAGCGGGTTGGCTTGCTCACGCCCGGCGGAGGCTTGACGCCGCCGCAGGGCTTCGCGACGCGCTGCAAGGTTGAAGACTGAGTGTTGGTCAGCTTGTTCATAGGCTCGACGCTGCCACAGGGCCTCGCGACGCGCGTGGGTGAGCGCGGGCTAGCAATCTCTGGAGGCGAGCGGCAGCGCGTCTCTCCCCATATCTCCCCACATCTCCCCACACCTCGGCTTGCAATCTCTGGAGGCGAGCGGCAGCGCGTCTCTCCCCATATCTCCCCACATCTCCCCACACCTCGGCTTGCAATCTCTGGAGGCGAGCGGCAGCGCGTCTCTCCCCATATCTCCCCACATCTCCCCACACCTCGGCTTGCAATCTCTGGAGGCGAGCGGCAGCGCGTCTCTCCCCATATCTCCCCACATCTCCCCACACCTCGGCTTGCAATCTCCGGAGGCGAGCGGCAGCGCGTCTCTCCCCATATCTCCCCACATCTCCCCACACCTCGGCTTGCAATCTCCGGAGGCGAGCGGCAGCGCATCTCTCCCCATATCTCCCCACATCTCCCCACACCTCGGCTTGCAATCTCCGGAGGCGAGCGGCAGCGCATCTCTCCCCATATCTCCCCACATCTCCCCACACCTCGGCTTGCAATCTCCGGAGGCGAGCGGCAGCGCGTCGCGATCGCGCGCGCACTGCTGACGACGCCGACGGTGCTGCTCTGAGAAGAGCCAGCTTCGTTCCTTCATTCATGCATTCATTCGTTCAGTATTCAATTAGGTGGTGCTCTGCGATGAGCCAACCTCGGCGCTCGACCCGGTGACAGAGGCGTCCGTGCAGGCCGTGCTCGACGAAGCCCTCGCCAACCTCACCGTACCTGTGAACAGCGTCTCTTCACACCTCGAGCTGTGAACAGGCCGTGCTCGATGAGGCCTTCGCCAACGTCACCGTGCTCACCGTGGCTCACCGGCTGCGGTCGGTGATGGACTACGACCAGATCCTGGTCATGCAGCAGGGGCGGCTGGTCGAGCGCGGGACGCACGCGGCGCTGCTCTGCGCAAACGGCACCTACGCTCGGCTGTGGCAGCGGCAGGCGGACGGCGGCGGCGATGGGGCGGACGCGTTTTGGCGCGACGGCATCCCCGACTACTGCGAGCTCGTCGACTCGGAGTCGATCGCGCGCTTGGCGATGGGCGACGTCGAGGACGCTCTCACCCTGCGGGCGCTGGACAGCGTGGACGGGAGGGGGCAGGGCCGCGGCGGGTGGCTCTGGTGAGAGTGCCTGAGAGGGAGAATAGGCTTATGTCGACGAACATTTTAGCCTGGCGCCGATGAGGAAAGACGATGTATGTTCAAAGGTGAGGGCAAAGATTTCATCAGGCAGAGAGGGGCAGGAACAACGGGAAAGGAATCGGAATCGGAAAGGCATATCCCTATTGTTTAGGGGCCCGATCAACTCACTGCGTGACTTGAGGCGACACCACGAACCGCCGTGCCCGTGCCCGTGTCTGTGCTAGATGGCTCGGGAGATAGGCGTTGACGTCAAGTTGTAGGCGGCCACCGCAAATCCCCACCGCATGCAGTTGGTTGGGCGGCACTGATGTGCAAGCCACGGTCGAGCGCCTGTCTTGCACTCGGCTGGCCCCGGCGTACGCATGCAGGGATTCCTGGGGCTGGGGGCGTCGTAGGGGCCCCACTGCTCAAGACGATGTAGTGTGCCATGACGAACAAGCTGGTCCAACGCCTGGCCCGGTGGCAGTGCGATGTCATCGACCACGACGATGCTCTGAGGTGTGGCGAACGCCTTCAAGCGACGCATGTCCCTCAAGGCCCCCTCGAAGGTGTGATCACCGTCGACGAGGATTAGGTCGCATGTGACATTGAAGACGCTGGCCGTGAGCGTTCTTCGCGTATCGCCGGCGTGGAAGTTGACTCGATGGCCGAAGCGCGTGAGCAGATCAGTGACCGGGCGGCTGTACTTGAACTTCATTAGGTCCCAGCTGTGCACTATGAGGTTGGCATTGGCCTCCAGCATTGCGGCGGTGCTGTGGCCGCCGTTCATGCCGATCTCGCAGTAAGTGCGCATGCCTGGCAGCCGCGCAAGGCTCAGCATGCGACGCACTTGGAACTCGCGAAGGTAGCCTGTTTGGTACCTCTCACTGATGTCGGCAGTCGCCATGACCGCATCAAGCAGATTCCACCAAGTGAAGACCGCAGCGGGAAGCTCGTCTTCGGTAGCGACAAAGCGTGGCTGGCCGATGCGAGCCTCAACAAGCCGCGGGCGAAACGTTGACAAGGCCGCATCGAGCTCACGCATATTGAAAACAGTAGGGTCGCGTCCTCCGATTTCCGTCAACTCAGCATCCACAGACCACACCCTTTACTCGTCTTAAATTCGGTAGTGGATCTGTGATGTGGGAAAGCAGCGAACCCGGCCACCCACAACGGCACCGCCCGCTTCCGCTTTTACCTGTGGGCCTAAGTAGCAAGAGAGAAGGGTCGGGGGGAGTGGGAAAATTCGATTTTGACGCGAGACAAAGCAAACGCCAACGGCGCTGCAAATGGTGGTCAGTCGCCGCCGTTTTACGCAAAGGAAGGACCAGAAGAGAGGGAGGTAGCGAGATAGAATTCTACCATAAGCCCCTCTCACAGCAGGCAGGCTGGCGAGATAGAAAGCGATCGCCTTTTGGATTCATACTACATACATACAGAAAAGAAAGAAAGAAAGAAAACAGACAACCCAAGGGAGGGATGGGAGGACGGCACACCGCCTCAATCCTCCACCACGCCAGCGCTGCATCGCGCCTTACCTACATATTCCACACAGTCGTATTCCGAAAGATGTTGTTGCATTTTCGGAGCTGCTCGCCGTGCGGTGAATCTGCGATGACCACACCCACAAAGAACCCTGCACAAAGACCGCAGGGCGGGGACCTGTTCCTTTTTACCCATCTCCTAGTAGAGGTGTCCGTTTTATTTATTTATTTATTTACCGAATAAGACGAGTACACAGTACACCGCCCCGCGGCTCGCCGAGGGGGGGAGGGATGTCGTGTCGGCCCCAAGCATGTGGCCGAGCGTGTGAGCTGTGGAGTACGTTTACCTTAAAGCCGCGACCTGCACTGCTGTGGCTACTGTCCGCCCTCCTCGCCGCGTCCCTCGCGGCCTTACAGACGAGGCAGCCCCTGAGTTCGCTCCTTGTGGCGGCGCCCGGGGTCTCTCTGAGACTCAGTAAAACTCTCTCCCCGCCTCTCCCCGCATAATCCTCTCGTGGTGCGCTCCGTGTGGCACCCCCGCCTGCTGCCGCACACGCGCTCCCATGACGGTCTTTGTCACCACGTTATGATCATCCACGTCGGCGAATTCAATCTCGCGCTCGCCGTGCTGATCCTTGATCCAGAGGGGTGGCCCGTCTACCGTCTACCGGTAGACTGGGGTAGACTGGGGTAGACGGTAGACCATTTGGTAGACGAGTCTACCGCAGTCTACCGGTAGACCGTAATGAACCTACGACCCCAGTCTACCGGTAGACTTGGTAGACCGCGGTAGACTGGTCTACCCCTTTTTCAGCCGCCGAACGGTAGACCGCCGCCGCCGGACGGTAGACCGCCTCGGCCGTTTGAATATGCAGCCTCCAGTTCTCCACTCTGGCGCCACTTTGGCAGACGAGCGCCGGCAGATGCCCTCGCGGCCTGCCGGCGAACGTCCGTCCGGCGAGAACGCGCGCCATAATGGACGTGTGGCTGTCTGGCGAAAACTCGCTCTCGAGAGCCGCGAGAGGGCGGCGCTCTGCAGTGAGCGGTTCCGCCCGATGAGTGGTGAAGACGTTCAATTTGATCTCATAAAAGACACGGAGTTTTCCGGGCACGGAAATGGCATGAGGTGAAGCT